GGTCCATTCCACAGGGCTCAGTCCTTCAGTAGCAATGGCTGTTCCAGTGTGGGTTCCCCATGGGCTCACAGGTCCTGCCAGGAACCCACTCCAGCTTGGGCTCCTCTCCCCATGTGGCCACATATCCTGCCAGGAGCCTGCTCCAGCACAGGCCTCCCCCTGGGTCATGGCCTCCTTGGGCATCCAACTGCTCTGGCAGGGGATGATCCAGGGGCTGCAGGGGGATCTCTGCTCCCCGTGGTCCCCCACAGGCTGCAGGGGCACACCTGCCTCACTATGGGCTGCACCATGGGCTGCAGAGGGATCTCAGCTCCAGCACCTGGAGCAGCTCCTGCTCCTCCTTTTGCACTGACCTTGGGGTCTGCAGGGCTGCTCCTCAAACATGTTCTCATTCCTCTTTTCCAGCTACTGTCTTGCAGCAGTTTTTAGCCTTTCTTGACTTCCCCACACACACCACCACTGTAGTGGTTGGGCTTAGACTTGGCCAGCAGCAGGTCTGTCATGGAGCTGGCTGGAACAGACTGGGGGAGCTCCTGGCATCTCAGAAACCACCCTTGCAGCCCCCCTGCTGCCAAAACCTTGCCACACAAACCCACTGCAACTGTAGGCTTTCTGATTTATGCCTACAAAGTATGGATTTATTTGGCTGGGGCTTTTTCTTACAGGTCTCTTTGACAGTTAAATCAATTTAAACCTGGAGTATTGCCATGCAAAATAGGGAATGTATTTGTGATTCATAGTGGCAAAGAGTCTAAATGTTTATTTGATTCATATTGGGGCTAAATAACTTGGATTACATCTGGGGTTTTTTTTTCCTTATGATCCAGAACTTCAAGATGACAGGAAGAGAGTTTCTTGAACTAGATTCTCCCCAGCAAAGACTAATTTTGGAAAGATTTAAGCGGATGGAAATCATACAAAAGATGTTCAATGAGCTTCCTAAAACAGATCAGTAAGTGCTGGTAAAATAAATGAAGAGAAGTGCATCAGACATTTCAAGTCTTGAAGGCTTTTCTTTTTCCTTATTCTTGTATTACAAATTCTCCTTGCAGTTACAAAATTAGTTAATTTTGAAGATGCTTGTTGTTGTCCAGAACAGAAGACTTGTTTTATGTTTTTCCAATATGGTTCTTTCAGTGCTGGCTGTGGTCCTGCCCTGCTGGTTTCTGGCATGTGCTCCCCAGTGCTGAGGGTTCTGTGATGGCTGATCAGCCCTGACTGGCTCTGAGCATTCTCACAGTGCTAGAGCTAAAAAATTTTCTAGGAAACTGAAATGTGATTCTGCTGGAGTCATCTTCTGTCCAGCAGGGCTGGCCTGGGGCCAGAACTGAGTGAGGATCAACCTCCTGGTTTCTGCATTTCATTCTGCACTGCTCCCTGTTTCAGGAAGGCGAGACTAAGGTATCCAGCTGGTGGTGGAGGAGTCAGCTAGAGTCCTGCAGGCTCACCAGCAGGGTTCTGTACAGCACAAAGCCAGCTAAATGCTTTCTGGGTCTCACAAATGACCTTTTGGGTTGTGATACTGCATGCAAAACCCTACTGGACCTGAGCTAGTTCTGTTATGAGCCATTTGCATGTGTGTATCAGCTTGGATAATTTTTTTAGAAATAAGAGTAATCAGAAGCTTATTTTATTTATATTTTTTAAAATAGGACTAAATTGCTGGCTAAACAAACTGCTGGTAGTAACAGAGGGCCTCCCCACACAGGTGAGAAAGCAAAGGCTGCAACTTTGTGTAGGATCTGCTGCCATCACGTTCAGCCTCCAAAACTCCTCCTTCCCCAGGAGAGCAGGGGAGGCAGACACTCAGTAGTGATGTGGTAATGTCTGGATAGAAACTCTGGACTTATGGGTTGCTCAGCCTTGGAAAGAAGTAGCTGCCAGTCACTGGCAGGACTTAGAGCTTGTATCCAAAGGGGTGCTCACTGATGTCTGGAAAGGAAGAGCTACAGTCAAACTGAGAGTTCCTGTTTAGCCAAGCACGTTTTTAACATGAGGGAGCTCAAACAAAAAGCCACAAACCCCAATTCTTCCATCCTCCTTTTCTTTTCTTTTGTGCAGTGTAGCAGTTCTGTATCTCACTAAGTAGATTCTGCTGGTCCTGGGTACATTAATTTGCTTTGTTTTGGGTACTTCAATATGCTGCTAAAATTTTAATCTCAGTCCTCCATATTTATTAGCATGTTTGCCGGTGTTTCATTGCCTGTGATTGTAAAGGTAAAATTTGAATTTTCCTATTCAAAACAAGAAATAGTTGGTGTCCTTGATGTCTGACATTTTTTGTGTTTAAAGTGTTGTGAGATTAGCAAGTACATCGCTGAAATCTTTTCTGTAGTGCTTAATATTACTCAAAACATTAAAATGTAGAAGAATTATAAGCAGATTGACTTGACTTTTTAAAGTTATATTTTATTGTATATATATTTCCTCATTTCTTTACAGAAAACATTATCATTAGAAACATGCTTATAAGGAGAGCTTTAATGAAGTTTCCATTAAGTATAATAATGGGGGGAAAAAAATTGTAGCAACAGCTTCTCAACCCATCACTTCACTCTTGAAGTGTGTGTAAACTCAGGCATATAACAAAGGATGCTGCACTGGCTGCTTTTGGAAGTAGTAGTTACTCTTCATTTTGCATATTGAGAGATTTATGTCCCTTACCCCTTGTTGCAGGATTTTCAGAAGAGAATTGTAGTGTTGATCAAACTAAACTTTTTTTACAGTTCTCAGCTGCTGAAACGACTTCCCTTCTTTCACAGGAACCTTTGTAATCATGGAAAATACTTCCTAGCAGCAAATTCAAGCTTATGTGGCTTAGCAGCAAATAATTTCTTCAGGAGCATCCTACATGTCAGAAAGGCTTCCCTGGCGTCTGCTATTCCAATGGCTGTTATTCCATTTCTTTCAACAGCAGCAATTTATGAAGCTTTTGTGTATGACCCTTTATTTTCAGGTAAACACCTCTTTATTCCTTTTTTTTTTTTTTTGGAAAGGGCTTTGCTTTCTGTACACAATGTAACACTAGAAGAGTTTTTTCTTCCTGCAGAACAGTGCTCTTAAACTGTTGTGGTCTTGAAAAACTTCAGTTTGTAAAGCAGAGTTTGAAAAACAAAATGCATTGGACAGCAGTGAGTTCTCAAAGTGGAGTGGGAAAGGAGATACATATGTTTATATACGTTTCTGAAAAAGTTATTTTACACATTACTTATTTTCAGCATTTTTCACTCAGTCATGTAAAAGTGACTGCAACAAAGCAGTTCAATTTCCCCCCATCTGTACAATTTCATTTGAAGGTCAGCTTTTGAATGGTAAATTCCTCATAGGTTGGAGTGGGAGTGATTGTTTTTTGGTTTGTCTCAGTTTTTGTTTTGGGACTGTTTTATTGTTGTTTTGGGGTTTGTTGTTGTTTTTTAAAAGAGTCCTCCTTTATAATTTTTTGCATACCTGTACAGCTTGGAAGTTTCTGTCAAGAGCCTGTTTTCAGGCTCTTGCATGCAGCTTATAAACTGATGTGGTAGAGGATGTGTAGATGTTGACAGTGAAATATGGTTTGCCACGCAGGTCAGCTGAACTGTGAGGTCTGTGCTGTGATCAGAGGAGGATTAGTAGGTGCTGTTGTGGGTGGTTTCTATCCCATTTTCCTGGCTATCCCCTTGAATGGAAGCCTTGCAGCCAGGTACGTCTTATCTGCAATGTATTGATTGAAATGTATTTATGGGTAAAATGTTCCGCTCTCAGTGTAAATTCTGTAGATATTTGATCTGGGCACATTTGTCTTCTTGTAGACATTTAGGATGTGGAAGGAGATATACATTAAGGTCATCTAATTACAAAATGAAGTTTGTAAGAGCTACACCAAAGTGAAATAAGATCTGCAAAGTGATCCATGGGGAAGCCCTTGTGTTTAGCAGGAGCCTTCCAAGTCTCCCAGGCTGTGCCTCAGTGTGAGCAGTGGTGGCTGCCATCCTGTCACCACTGAAGGTGGCTGGACAGCCAAGAGACCTCAGTGACCCTGGGCAGTGCCCAGCAGCCAAAGCTCCTGACAGGTGTCATTCTATGTAGTTCAGAGCACAGCAAGGGCAGGGCAAGGCTTGGTGAGACCAGGGCATGGTCAGGATGTTTTAAAGCATTTATGCAGAGAGCTCAGTACCACCAGGTGAATTTAACATAGAAGAGAAAATTACTGTCTACATAAATATTTATGTTAAATCTTGACACTTACATGGATAAAAAAGTTTATACCACTGTTTCTATTGTTTAGGTATATGTCAACTCCCTTGCCAGGGAAAGAAAACCTGTTACGCTACTGGCTCACAACTTCTCAGCCTGTCTTTAGAAAGATGAGTCTGGGCATACTGGTACAGGCTCTCACTGGATTATATCTTGCCACTAAACAGCACGGAATATATATCAAAATGCTGCTGCAGATGAACAGTAGCAGGGATCCTGAAGAGCTACCTGAGTGAAGCAAAGCAACTTTTTTATTGCCTTGGATAAGTAACCATAATAAACAAGAAAAAGAAGTGTTGCTGTGTCTTTTTAATACAAAACCAGTCTCTGCACTAGCATTTTTTAAGTTTTGAACTTAAGTGCCAGTTAAACTTTTCATGATGCCCAGTTTAGTGCACACACTTAAATAGCAGACAGGTGTGTTGCTTTGGAAATGGGAGGCAAGAAAGCATTTATAGTCCCTGCTTAATGTTTGGTTCTAAGGTGATGCTACAGCTTTTAGAAGCTGTAAAAAATGAGTATTCTTGAAAAAGAGGTTTTTTCCTTCATAATGCAAACCATAGAAATTTATTAAAAAAAACCAAAAAAACAATTAAACAAAACCAAAAAAAAAAAAACCCAAAAAACCCCACAACCAAAAGGGGGAAGATCAAGGCATGGTTTTACTAGAGATCTACTCAAAATCTGAGTATTTTTCTCCCTTTTCCCCATTCAGCTAGCACAAAACTTCTGTCACAAGACACAAGATTATCCCATTTACACTGTTAGATGGGTCACACTGTGGAGAACAATTTTATCACAGAGCAATCAGGAGTGACAGTCATGTCAGGCTTCCTATCATATCAAAAAAACAGCCTCTGGCCTTGTAACCATTTTGCCTTGAAATTAAGTCTTTTCCTGAAGGATGGGGCTGTGGTGAGAGGCCTTTGAGGGCCAGTGCCATTACTGGGGTATCTCAGCTATGTCTAAGATCAGTGGTCCAGAGTAATGCATTTATGAGTCAGGTGTGCCTTCACACTGGTGGCTGGACGTTCTAGAGCAATATAAATTGCAGCTCTTCTACTGCCTGAGGGTCCGTAGTGTATTCTGCAGTCTGAGCGCTAAATCAGGAATTCTACAGAAGCAATACTCCCAATCTAATGTATGGTCTTAACCTGCCATAGGTGGAGGTTGGCTTCTCCCAGGCAACAAGTGCCAAGACAAGAGGAAATGGCCGCAAATGGTGCTAGGGGAGTTTGAGGTTGAACATCAGGAGGAATTTCAGGAATTTAGTTTCAGAAAGGCTTGCTGAGCATTGGAATGGACTGCCCAGGAGGTGGCAGGAGTCACCATCCCTGGACGTGTTCAAGAAACCACTGGATGAGGCACTTGGTGCCATGGTCTAGTCAAGGAGCTGGTGATAAGTAAAAGGTTGGACTTGATGGTCCTGAGGGTGTTTTCCAAACCTAAATGGTTCTGTAACTGTAAAAGCTGTACAGTTACTGGTCAAGAGTCACTTCAGTAAAATTCTAGCATCCCCTGATGCACATGGAAATATTTATTAATGAGAATTAAGAATTCAACATTGCGACCTTTACTTGAAAAGGTTAAAACTTATTCTGTAATGCTGATGAAAATATATTGAAGGAGTTTTATCATCTTTATCTACCTTTTCCTTAAAAATGGGTCATTACAGCAGGAACATGACACATTCTTTATCCATACCCAGGAGCAGCAGCAATACAGTCTCTGTTAGGTAGAGATCATTTCATTTTCTTGATTCAAAGTGTTGCTGTGTCACATGGTGTTCCCATCTGCCTTACCTTAATCACCCCGACTGGAGATTCCCAGGGACCAAGTATTTTACATGACAGTGCATTGTCATATCTCCGGAAGCCACCAGACTTTAACCAACAGAACCACTTACCTGTGATAATAAAAACATAAAATAAAGGTGTTATTGTGCAATAGTATCTTTAAGAATGACAATGATTGGCTCATTGATTATTGTGTTTAACATTATATAGTTAAAAATGCTATAAACAGATTCTAGTGCTTATTAAAGAGTGAGATTCAAAAGGATCTTCCCTTCCAAATACTACTTTCATTTTGGTATAAATTGAAGTGATAATTATCCTCAGTCACCAAAATGCATGTTCTGATGTTTAGTGGTCTGGCCTGGACAAACCATATCCTTTTTAGATACTTATTTCTTCAACTGAAAGGTGAAGATTGTATATTAAAAAGAAAAGTTACATTCCTCAACATTTTAGTAAGTTGCAAAGACTGATAGTTGTTTCCAGCATCACTGATGAGCACACAAATTGCAGGTGTGTACTTTACATGTTCAGTACTAGTCACATCAAAGGTCAGCTGAGCACTCCTGAGACTAGAAAGGTCTAGAAAGGTGGTGTGTTTGTGAACAAGGAAATTTTTCAGTTACACCTTCTGTACCTCTCCTTAAACTATTGAGGGGAAGAAGTGTTCTCAGAATTCCACAGGACAGCAAGATGCTATCCCAGTTCTGGCATGCACACATGTGGAGGAGTGCCTACACAGGAATCTGGGAATGTTCCTTCCATTCCCTGTTTCATACACAGGATATGACCTATCACCTACAACCCCCAAGAACCAGTCCTCAGCCTCTGACAACTGTAATAAACTCCCCACAAACACTGAGAGAGAACAGGTGTTAGTTGGATCCTTTCTTCCACCATTGTGGTAGAAACAAGCCAGGCACAGGCTACATATCCCACAGAAAGGACTTCAGGCTACTCCAAGTCTGAACTATGGCCAAAAGAATGCCAAGAATAGCTACAGATAAGAGCCAACAGAAATACTAAAAAAGCTCCTTTTTTCTTGCAGATGCACCATTCTAAATGCTGTGTCATCATTACAATGTATTCTACTTCTGCAAATCCTCCTGATACATGTGCAAGTCCTGCCCTTGGCATCCTCCTGCTAATGAGCACAGGCAGAGTTATTTCTCCACATCCGCATATCCCACTTAAACTGGGTGGAAAAAATGTAGTATCAGCAGCTGGTAATGTGCAATTTTTGCACAGGGAGTTCTTTTAAACAGAGTCCATTTGAACAGCTCCCATACCTAACATATCCTTCAGACATTTTACAGTGTAACTAATAGTAATACAGCCCTATAACCAGAATATTGCTGATTCCAGAAAACCTCCTTAACTACAAACACCAGAAAACACAGCATTTTAAAAATCAGTAAATGTACAAAGGGCCTTTGGATTTTGCCAAAGATCTCTGTGTTTCACAGGGAAAACTGATTACAATTTTGACAAATGGCATGAGAAATCTGATTATCTGGAAATGCCAAGTGCTGGAACATGGCTCCCTGCATTTCCTTTGACATCATCTCTCCAGGCAGCTAGATTACAGAAGCAACGATTCGTTTTTAACTCCCAGGTGCTGCAAAGCTCTTCAGAGGAAAGAAAAGTTAATTTAGAACACTACCAAGAGTCACAACACCAGGATCAAACTCCAAAGGACTAAAGGAGAACTGAGCATGAAATTGTTTCTTATTTTAACACTAAATAGTCTTCACTAAAAAGTGACTCTGTTGAGAAGAAAAGAAGGGTAAATGCAGGTAGCATAGCTGTGCAGCTGAACACTGGCAGCACTTGGTTCTGTGGTACATACAATTTACCAAACATATTTCAGTGCTGAAACACTGAATTTTCTACAACTAGATGCCAAAAAAGGCAGAGCATGCCAGCATGCTTTTACATTTTTATGCAGTATTTTTTGTGAAATGCTCCATTTCATCAAGCTGCAGACCACTTTCTCTGGAATCCCCTCATGCTAGAAAACCAGTGCACTATTTTAAACTGTCCTCTACAAATAAAGCATTTAAGATGAACAGAAATCTGAACATACAGTACATGGCCCACTCCAGAGCCATGAAAACGTTCTGTCCTTCCAGCACTGTCAAACCTTTTGTTTTTAACACTCATTCTGGTGCTTAGTGTGGAAAGAGCAATTTGATGAAAGATTGTGATTCAACAATCATTCAGCATGTAATTAACCAGTCATGAAACTTCTGAGCCTAAAAATAGAACGGAAAGGAGGAAGATGCCAATAAACCACAGAAGGGTTTATGTAAGTATTTTACTCCTCCATGGTACATTGGTCAAATATATCCATATTGATAAAAAATTAAGAACTATGAAATACAAGAAGTGCTGATTCTCAGAAGTACACCTCTATCTGCAGTTCAAGGAATAACACCTTTGTGTTGTCCTTACCACAGAATTATCACCACATTTAAAGACAGAAGAGCAAGAACATTTCTCCTGCATACCCTAATCCATTTTATCTTGTTTTCCAGCTGATGACCCAGAGACAGCAGCAACATTTTCCCTTCTGTTTTACCACTTTGTTAAAAGAACCAAGTCATTCATGAAAAGAAAAAGATGAAGAAAACATTTGAGCCCATAAACTGAAAGATCAACAAGTCTGATTTTATTATGATGTTGTATTCTTATCTGAATGGCACATAATTACAAAGAAACATTTACAATATATTTTCAAGTATTAAGTTATGTCATTTCAAGGCTTTCACTTCAAAAAGCTACATTAATAATACACCATACAGATAGTACAGTTGGTTAGTTTCAAATAACTTCCTCCCTTCTATTTGGTTTAAATATGATTCAGTAGGCACTAGAAATGCCTGCAGCCACTGACTTTCTTGGGACTTGACCTTGTTCTTGTACCACAATACATCATTTTGCATGTCAGAAAATCAGCTGCTCTCAGACACAGCCACAGGTCATGTCATGACAGAGCATTGTGCAGGTTCACAGCAGAGGCCAGAAGAACTGTCCCTGACCCTGCCATTCAGCAGTGATGCGACAAGAAAGAATGCATATTTAATTAACTTAAAAAACACTCCTACACTGAAGTAGCCATAAAAATGCCACTGGAACATCCCATGCTTGCTACATTAGTGTTTCTCTTTTCCTCAAGCACATTAAACTGAAAAATGAAGCACGTTCATGAGGTCTGAGCTAGGCAGGTTGAGATTAGGTTGAACCTAAATTATTTCCATTTTGCCTATCAGTCAGTGCAGGTCCTGATGGTTAACTCTGACTCCTGTGCACTGGTATAACCCCTCAGTTACAGCAGAGTTACCCAGAGTTACCCAAGTTAAGACTGAAACTTGGAACAGCCCTGTTGATGCCACCACAGAGGTGTAAGGTCACACATATCCCACTAAGTCTCTTTTGTGCTGGCAATATCCCCTGAACAGATGGAATTCTGCATACAGTGGAGTAAAACCTGTTTGACAGACTATTGCCTTTTTAAAAAATCATCTCGGATGACAGTAAATAATCCCAGCAATAAACTTCTTTTTTTTAACCAAAGACAGCAAAAGCCCTGTTACCTCTTTATTCTCATTTCTTATACTACCTTTTAAAATAAAGCAGGAAATGTGGCCAGCAGCTGGTCCCGTCTCTTCTGCCCCAACACAGCTGAATCCACTTTAGCATAAAGAAAAACAAGGATGCTAAATACACATATACTTTATCACACAGTGATGTTTCACAAAGAAAAATCAATCTCCTTTTCTACTGATGAACACGTGACAGGGTCTAGCACCAATAACGCAAATGACTGGGAGAAAATGCTTTCACCTACTTAGCCTTAAACACAAAATTTAAGGCTTTAAGAAACAAGACTTCAGAAACACTAAATAGCACTAATATCATTTAAAAAAAATTATAAATTAATCTGTTTTAGAAAAGTATTCTTTGTGAAACCTCACTTTACATATTATCATTTTCACAATCCTTCTTCCCCCAACTGACATACATTTAAACAACCTAAACATTATAATACAACTGAAAAAAAGAACCCACTCATCTTTTGTGATAGGGAGAAACACTGACTACTACAAGAAAACACACACTATTTTTTGTCAAACTATTTTTCCTCCTATCTCAGGAGCAATTATGGAGCATTTTTCATATCATTAGCCTCAAGACACGTATTTGCTCATCCCCAAACTGTGCTTAATTATATCAGGTTATAGATTTCTGGATACTCTAAGAGGCTGAATTAAGAACTCTACAGTAGAGTTAAGCACATGCATATACATGCAATATTTTTAGAATTTAAAGCTACTCTGAAGTAACATAGGAATTTCAGTGTGCATGGGCACAGAGATTTACTTATGGAAGGTAAAGTAATGAGTTACTTCGATGCACTGATTCTTCAAACCTAATTCTCCTTAGAGGTCCGTGCAAGAGCAACTCCTCTATGTGAGGACTCCTCTGCAGTGATTTAACCAGTGCTCAGGCTGTTTCATCAGGTAAAACTCTGCACTGTGAATTAGAGCCAGCTAGAGAGGGGCTTTTGAATGGTTCTGTGCATCCCTAACACTAGACAGCATTTTAAACCAACAGGTCACAATTTCCTTTCCTTTTTTTCATTCAAAAAGCAATTTACTTAGACTTTTGGGACAGTCCCCTGTAATAATAGACTATAAATGTCACATCCCCCTTATAAGCATGTTTTCCTTTTTCCACTCATCACACACTTGGTTTAATAGGAAATTTCTATTTCAAATGTATGAGCAGTATTTTAAAATTCAAAATGTAGTTCCTGTATTGGCTACTATGTAGCCAATGTAGTTGTTTCAAAAACAAAAAAAGGAAAACAGCTAATGAGACTGATGTGATTGTAACCTTTACTATAAATTGTCATCCAGAGCTAGAAACATTTTGGCAGAGTAGGCCAAGGACCAGAGAAACCATTTTCTGAACCAGTCATTATGAGAGACTGGGATAAGCAAAGCAAGCTGTCTGATACCACATTATGGGAATATATTGATCCTTACCAGGTTGCGAGGTGGAAAACGACTGTTCTTTAACCCCTACACAACGGAGCCTGGCAGGGCAACCACCTAAAAGAGAAACTGTCAGAGAGGTTTTAATAGTAATGTATAACTGAGATGCAGTACAATTTTATATGCATGCTTTCTTTTGCCGATCATTACTATTTTCTTAAGTCTGTCCAGTGACGATGTCATAATGGAGTTTTTGTTTGGTTTTCTAAGCAAGCATTTTCGGCTCCTCAGGATAAGCAGGCTAGACATTATCTGACTCAAGACCGGGTAGTCAGCATTATCTTTACTGCGAAGCGGAGCCGAGCACACCTTCATGCATCAAGTCGGCATGATCTTTTCACCCAAGTGCTGCGAACGGGCTCTGGCGGCACCTCCGCGTGTGCACCACGCGCGTGTCAGTCCGCACGACCACTGTCGCACTGCTGCACGCAGCTCTGCGCGACTCCCATCGCCAAACAGGCTCACACCACTACCGTCCACACGCCAGATTTACGGGACCTTAAACCAAGGCCACCGTCTGGCTCCCAACGTGCCGTTCGAGAGAATTTTTGTTACCCTGGCCACTTAAGTAAGCGCCAGGTTCCCCACCTTTGCATCTCCCCCAATACCACCCCATCACCACTGTATGGATTCTTTTCCTGCGCACCATCGCCTGCTTCCTCCGCCGCGACGCGAGGCCCTTACGGGTGAGAACCCCACGAGTACTTGCAGCAGGTACTTGACCCTACATTTTGAAGGAGGCCGCTGCCCGCCGAGCACAGATGGAGCAGAACTCCACCGACACCTGATCCCGGTCCACGTGCAGGCAAATCCCGCCAGGGGCCGCCCACTCCTCCTCCGTCTCAGTCACCGCCGCCGCCTCCTCCAGCCCGCGAGGCCGGGAGCTGGGCAGGGCGTAGTCGTGGTCGCTGCTCTCACCGGCGGGCTGGAGGTGCTGCTGCTGGCGGCGGGGGCTGCCCGTGTCCCTGAAGAGGCTGGTGCTGAGCTGCAGCCCGCCGGCGCGGGTCCCGGCCAGGCGGCTCAGGAGCTGCCCCAGCGCGCTCTGGTTCGCCAGCACAGCCCGCAGGTAGCTGCTCTCCCGCTCCAGCTCTCGCAGGCGGCGGCTCAGGCCGCGGTTGCGGTCCCGCAGCTGCCGGTTCTCGGCAGCCAGGCCCTGCAGACGGCTCTCCAGCCCCAGCACATACTGCTTCTTCTTCAGCCGGTTCAACCGCGCCGCCGCCGCCGCCTTCAGCCGGCTCCCGGCCCCGCCGCTCCTCCGCCCGGGCGCCGGCGGCCGCGGGCCCTGGCCCGGCGCGGGCAGCGGCTCCGGGTCCCCACAGAAGCAGTCGCTCAGCTCCGCGTCCAGGTCCCAGTCCGGCCGGGCCGCCTCCAGCAGGTCTCCCAGCTCCAGCCCCGGGAACCAGTCCTCTTGCTCCCACACCTCCAGCGGGCCGCCGGGCGCCTCGGCCTCCTTCTCCTGCCGCCGCGGCTCCGAGGCGCCCGGGGGCTCCCGCCGCGGCGGCGGCTGCGGTTTGGGCCGCGCGGGGCCCTGGTCCCCTTCCCCGCCGCCATCCCGCCCTCTCGGGGCCTGCCCCGCTCCGGCCAGCGGCCAGACGGCGCCCGAGGGGCTGGCCCCGCCGGCCGAGGCCGCCAGCAGCTGCGTGAGGCTGTGGCGCATGGCGGGAGCGGGGCCCGGCGGGACGGGACGGAGCCTGAGGGCAGCGGGCGGCGCGAGGCTGCGGCCCGGCGCTCCCGCCGCGGGGGCTGTCGGGAAGCGGCGCGGGGGGGGGGAGCGAGGGCAGTGGAAGCGCCGCGCGACTGCGCTCGCGCGCGGGAAAGCGGCGTCAGGGAATGGCGGGGGGGGGGGAGTGCCACCAAATGTGGAATATGGAAACGTTTTCTTGAGAGAGGATGTTCTTTGACGTTTGACCTTTGTATACATTCAAGCCCAAACCACGAGAAGGGAGATCCGTGGAATAGCGAGCAGCCAACGAGCTCTAAGGGATCTTCAGGTGTTAGAAGGACAAATGAATGATCACTAGGATTGCCTTGTTAAGGTTTAGGGCTCAACGTGTTTCAATGACCTCAGACCTAGGGGGAGGTTAACAAAGCTTGGGAAGAAGGATGTACTGCTGATAGTGGACACAAAGAATGCAGAATTTGCGGGCCACAAGGACATCGGGCAGAACTCCCACGATAAGGAATAAATTAATAAACCCAACTCGGCAACTGTGCTAAGTCAGTTCCGACTGAGTAAAACATAATTCCAGCAGGGGGATATCCCAACTGCCAGCTCATGGGCTACCGACCCCAAAAAAAGAGAAAGATTGAGCATGCAAACTAATTAGCGAGAGAGAATCATTAACTGATAGAATACTAATTAATAAGAGAATTAGGTAACTTATAGCTTCTAACACCAATTCCCTTGTTTGCTACAACATAAATAGTAAAAAGTTTTGATAGTCGGTGTGTTTGATTTGTGGAATACCACCAAGCACCCAGGCTTGTGCAAATCTGAAATAAACGAATGTCTCACATGTGTAATTACTGGCTTGGTGCACACCAGGTAACAAATCCAATTTTTGTGGAGAGCAGGGTGACAGGTGTGGGAGGCTGGGCATGTAAGGGAGATGTGTGTGGTTTGGGTGAGGAGAGGTGTGTAGGAAATGTGGGAGTGCAGGAGGGGCGAATGTGAGTGATGGGGAATGCAGGAGGGAATGGGGGGCAGTGACAAGGGGTTTGTGTGTGAGGCAGTAGGGGGGAAGGTCTCTCACACATAGCTATTGCCAAAGGGTGGGAAGGGGATTCCCTGAGAGTGCAGAATGTGGGGTCTTTCCCACCACACCCCATGGCTGTGGCAGAGGCCTGTGGGGCTGTTCTGTCACACAAGTGAGCAGGTGTCCTCTGCCCAGATTTAGAGTATTTAGGCACCTGGTTTCAGGGTCCCTTGCAGTGACCAGAGGGATACAAGTGCTCCTCGTTGTCAAGGGATGAATTCAAACAGAGCAGCCAGCTCTCAGACCAAGGGCACAGTGTGTGACGTGAGTCAGTTGGGGTTTACACTATAGCTGCCAGCATTGAGATTAATGAAATGTGTGTGGGGTGGGCACCTCAGAGCAGGGGAGTATGGTTAAAAAGTAGGAGAATGTGGTCCATAAAACACCTGTGGAATGACAGTTGTAGGAGCCAGGATCAGAAGAAATGCTGTGGTTCATCTCACAGCAGGTAGTAGAGCAATACTTCTCATCTGGCTTTGCCTGGGTTCAAGGGTTGTCCAGAGTTCAGAAGAAAGGCTGCTAGCAGCTGCTGCTTATGTAGATTCAGAATCACAGTATGGTTTGGGTGAAATGGACCCTAAAAATCACCGAGTTCCAACCCCCCTGCCTTGAGCTGGTAAACCTTTCACTAGACCAGGTTGCTCAGAGCCCCATCAGCCTCACACTGAACACTTTCAGGGATGGGGTCATCCACAGCTCCTCTAGGAAGCCTGTGCCAGAGCCAGAAACCACATCTGGTTCAGCCAGTCTTTGAGTTGGTCACTGGCTTCCAGACCTGCTGCTTCTGATCATTTCTGTAAATTATCTCAATAGATACCAAATCTGATACCCTGCTGTGGCTCATAGATACTCAGGACCAAGAAATACTCAATCCCTTTCCTAGATTCTTGAGTTATCCCTTGAGTTATATCTTGAGTTATTTATGTGGCAAAGAACTCGAGGTACTCTGGAGGCAGCTGCCTACAGCCCAGGTGGGGGATGCTGTTTGGCCCCTCATGGTGGTTGTTTTGGGTTTTTTTTTTTTTGGTTGGGGACTTAAAGAACAGAGCTGAAACTCCACAGCAAAAATCTTCCTTCTTGCCTAGGAGACCAGCAAGAGAGAGTGGGAGGTCTCTGGATCCCACAGTGCTGACAGGAAAGATTTTTCTTTTTGTCAAAAGCTGCCAGACGTGCACAAAATGGAAGAGTGTATCACTAATATTTATCTGCATGAAACAGCTAAAAACAGGAAAAACACCCTGGTGGAACATCTAGAACATCGTCCAGTTCCAAAGAACAGATTGAAATAACCCAGAAGTCTTGACAATTTATTCTGAGCTGAATGGGGATATAAATACTACTCTGGGATTAAATAGAGTTTAAATGACTGCAGAAATCTGTAGACTACTAGAAAACTATAAACAGTAGTTTGCTTGAGAATCAGTTGTCATATGATATTATTGGATTACCTGTTAAGTTCCTGAATTTAGAGAACTGCAGAGATATTGCAAGGTAGGATTTTCTTGGAGCCTCAGAGCCTCTTAGGTTCCCAGCCTCTGCTGAACTTCAAAGCAGAATCAAATAGAAAAGGCCAAGAGTTTGAGCTTTTGGTCATCTTGAAAAATAAAATGGTTTTAACTAAAAAAAAAAAAAAAAATGAAAACCTATGATTCAGCAGAGGTTAGTACTAAATAAATCAAATTCATATTTCATGTTTTCCAGCCTAATCATTCATGTCACATCATTGACTGGTTCAATGGTCCATGTTCAGCTGTAAGAGTGTAGTGATTTACTTTCATAAAGGCATAATGACAAAAAGGCTACAGAGCTCTCAGTGGAGGAGGGTTTAAGCTGGTGAGGACAGTACAAAGAAACCAGAGGATGGTCCCATGGAGAGGAACAAAATTCAGGCGTGTGTTACCACAGAGGCACCTGTTAAGAGGAGAACAGAGAAAAAACTGCAGTTATGCAACAAAGTGATGGAGTTTGATGTTCAGAGCTCTCTCTTTAGTCAGCAAATCCATATGTGCTTTCCGTAAGCGTTGAACTACAGCAGGAGTTCATTGTGCGCCTGCTTGCTGTGTTCTAGCTGTCCTTGGAGCTCTTGAACCTTCAGATCTTTGTCTGCTGCTGCCTCTTTCTTGAGGCACCTTCCTGCTCTCTGCATGGCTTCCTCCACAGTCTCTAGCTTCTCCTCCAGCTTCTGAATCTCCTGCTCCTTATCTTGCAGAGCTTTGCTCCTCTCCATGGCCAGGTTCAGTAGCTGCTCTTTCTCTTCATGTGCCCTTTCCAGCTTGGCCTGCACTCACTGCTCTGAGCCCTCTCCTGGCTCTCTGCCTGCTGGGCCCTTGCAGCAGCTTGTTGGTGCCTCTCCTGTAGGACCTGCAGCTGCCTCTTGAGTGAATCCACCTCCTGGGCGTAGGCATCTGCTAGTTGGCTCTGAGCTTCCAGCAGCTCCTTCTCTCGCTCCTGGCCTCTGTGACTCTCAGAAGCATATTTCTCCTGCAAGGAGCAGAACTGCTGTGAGAGCTTCCTGGCCTGGGCTGCCAGCTGGAGCACTTCAGCTTCCTTCTCCCTCACAGCCTGGCTGAAGAGTGCTTCCCTGTCCTGCCGCAGGCGCTTGCTCTCCTCCCGCAGCTGCGGGTGCTGGTTTTTGTGCTCATTTTTGTACTGGATCATCTTTTCATGGTTTTTGACCACATCTGTGAAGCACCCCTCCAAATACTGAATACACTGGGTCTGGGTTTTAGTTTTCACAGCATCCTCTCCCCTCAGTTTCTCCAGCTCCATGTTGAGCTGTTCCAGGTCTCTGCAGTGTTTGTGTGTGTCATCCACTTTCCTCTTTGGTACAGAGACAAGATGATGATGCTGTTCTAGGTGTCAGAGCAGTAGCACCTCCTCACTCTGCTCCTTAGAGCTCTCACAGAGTTCCTCCAAGCTTTTTGTCAGATCTTCCACATCTTTGCCTGTCTCTGGATCACCTGTGGAGTCAGCCATACCTGCTCCTGTCTCCTAAGCCATGGAGCACCTGTCTCATGCAAAGACAAGATAAAATTTTATAGTGGCTGCTTCTGTTACTGACACTCAGCATAATTAAACAGTGCCCTGTGATTGTGTGGCCAACACTGCTGCCATAAGCTGGTGGTGTTTCTCTGGAAGTCCAGAGGAACTGATGTGGGGGAATAGGACCTCCCAAAACCAATGTCAGCTAGCAACTACACAGGCCTGCTGCCTTCCCCCTCCTCTGGTTCAGAGTCAGGCACACTGAGACTCAAGGATGCCAGACTCTGTGAGCAACAGCTAAGAGTGTGGGCTTACTATTTATGCAAGCCTATTCATTTGCTGATGACTAGCTTAGCTAATTATTCCTTCTCGAGGCACTGCTGTTGTAGCTACAAGAACTACTATTATATTTAGGTAAAAAGCTTGTAAGTGATAAAGCTGTAAATAACTCCTTACTCAATCCTTTTCCTCTGCCTTTATTTTCTCCTACAGCTCTGTATTGTAACTGCAAATAAAACACAGAGGGTTACGTCAAACTTTTAATTTATTTACAAGATTTCATTGCTATTTAAAAATAACTGAATAGCCTTATACTGTGCTTAGAGATTTATAAATCAAGTAAAAGAGCTATACAATCTTAATAAATAACGAATGCTCTGTGATACTAAGCCTCTGTGTCTGGAGAAACAGTTCCTCAACTGAGTTTTCACACTGATCTGCTAGATTGATTTAGACATGTAATTTTAAAAATCTGGTTCTTCATTTAAAAATAAGGGAAATATTTCTATTTCATATGCAAAATGATTATTGATGCTGAATCACACAGCATGCTACCCAGACATTTGAAAAATTAGCCTGCAACTCATCTACAAGTTTTTCATTTGGACGCAGACCTGAAACAGCACATGAAACAGCACAT